ATTATTAGATTGGGTAAAAATCCCTAGGTTTCCCCCCTAAAAAAATGACAAGTAATAGGAAACTTGAATGATATACACAAAGAATTCAGAGGGATAGAAGGTCACCAAATTGAAAAAGTCTTGCGTTTTCTCCTGTATGCCATTTTATTGTCATTCATTTCTGATATGTTTTTTCACACCATTTTTAAACTACATTTTAACTTCCACTACCATTTAATCACAAAGACAGTGTTTTTTGTAACTTCGTGTGAATTACGTGTAGATGAAAGTGTAAAGAGCTAAGCTTCCTGGCTAACTTCATGAATCCAGCAAACCTGCTTTTCAGTGTGAACCATTCAAGTCTGCTCCTTAATGGTATCACGAATCTTTACATGTCACGCCTCTTGCAGGTCATGCAATAGGGATGCTTTTCACATTGTTTAAGCATAAAAAGGGATTTTTCCTGGGGAACAAAACAGAAGAATGCAGGGAAGGGGGATGGATAATTTTAGGCATGGCTTGTGCACAGGGTCCAGACATTACCTACAATGACCTTGAGCTCATTCTCTCCTGCTCTTGGTTCTGTTTTTTTATGTTTATTTCACTTGAGGGTGAAGGTAACTGCCGGAAGGTGCTAGCTTCTTTTGATTAGTGTTGGGTCTACTGGAAAAACCACGTCTCTCTTCTAATAGTCTTGGGAAAAGTTCTGAGATTTTTTCTCATTGGTTCTGACTAAACTGAATTGGGCCACATGTCCATTCTTGAAAGGGTCACTGTGGTTAAGGGAAAAGGTTGTTCTGATTTGATCTGCTTGTATCAATTTTACTTGAACCACATAAGCAGTGATTGATAGGACAATGGTTTCCCCCACCAGAAAAAAAGAAAAAGAAGAAGAAAAAAATAAGATTAAGGTGCCATTATTATTAGCAGATAGGGTAGGGGATGCTGGTCAGCCAAAACTATAACAGGATATCAAGGCATATTTACTATGAAGCCAATGGTTCTTAAGATACAGATCTTCTAACCAGCTTATGCTTCTTCCTAAAACACTACATGTAATTTTATATTTCTATTTTTATATTATTTTCACGCTCCCTCAAATAGCATAGGCTTCAAAAATTCTCAAAACTGGATCTTATCCTGCCAAGACTAAATCCATCAGAGTTCTATATCATTAGGGCTACTTCTCTTGGAGAGCAGGACAGAATTATTCCCCAGTGAGACCCCCGCACCAACCGTTACCAGCAAGAGTTCAACAATAACAATAGCACTGAAATTTCTGGTTATAAAAAACCAGTGAACTACCAAGATTCCAGTGAACTTAAGAAAAGTTCCCACTTTTATAATAAAAAACAAATAAAACTAATAAGTAGAATCTTTTTTTCCAAATTGTTTTCATTGAAGTTGTTTCTTCCTGGAATATGATTTTAAGCCCTATGTAACTCTTCACAGCTAACTTAGTTGCTCCCAGGCATCTAGTAATTTAATTATTTGTGGTGTTAACTTTTGTGTCTTACCTTTCCATAACAGGGCTCATGTGTTAGTCATGTTTGTTTTCCCAATCCTTGCAACGCCCAGCATGGATAAGTACCAGGCGAAGATTACTGAAAATATGGGGGGATGAATAAAACTCTATCTCACAACAGTCCTGTGAGTTTATTAAGCATCACAGTCATCTCACAGGAAAAAAAAAAAAAAAAAAAGGAAACCAAGGAACAATTCAGCTAAATGATGGCAGCGCAGAGGCCGGAAGTATATTTTTCTACTTCCTAGGACATTTCACTTCCCTTATTTCATCTTGTCTTTGAAGAAATATTCTGTGGGCTCAGCAATGATTTCAAGTACTTTTGTGGTCTGTGGTTTCTCTAGCAGCCAGAATATAGTAGGGACAACAGAAATCAGGAGAAGAAAGAAAGAAAGGAAGGGGTCAAGAGAAGTTCTGTTTTTGATTTTTTAAAAAATTAAAACAGGAGATAACTAGCACCCTGAGGACTACAGAGAATGATTTGGAGCAGAGGGAGATATTAAGGAGGTAGAAGAGAAAGTAATCTGAGGAAAGGTGGAAAGAATGTGTATAAATGTTGTATGTAGGTAGATGTGGCAGCAGGGGTGTATGAAATTCTTTTCTCTCTGCTTTAATTTTTTGCAGTGAAATCAACATCAAGGTCATCAGTTAAGGGAGAGTGTAGAAGAGGTGGAATGGTAAGTTTGAGAAGAAAAGGTATAAAATTGTCATCTAAGAGCTTGAGAGGGTTCTCAGATGACAAAAAAAAAAAAAGAATGAATGTACTGAAGAAATACAAAATGATTGCTAAGCAGCACTAAATATTCTTTAAATGTTGGAGGCCATAAATATAAAGTGAATCACATCACCGTGGGATGAGTTTTCCTCCAGGTTTCTTCACTGCTGGTACGGAACTGGTGGAGGGTTGAACATAACCAGGACTGTGACTTTATCAAAGGAAGTGAGAGGGGAGCAAGAGTAAAGGGTATATGCAAAAGTCAAACTGCATTCAGTTACACAGGAGTTCAAGGAGTTGGGGTGGGGGGCAGGATGGAGAAATAATATGCAGAGTTTGATGAGGGTCAGTAAAATTCTGTGGGATCACCATTTAGACCTAATAGGAATAGAATTTTAAAATGGGATCCATATTTAAATCAGCATTTAGAAATCCTAGTAGAAGCACTGGTAGAGTTGGACCAAAAGAAAGAGCACTGGAAAGCCAGGATGGAATCAGCAAGATTGGGATGCCTAGAAGTGAGTCTGTGGGGAATTTGCAGAGACTGATGATGCCTGCATGGAGGGTAGGACCATGAGCTTAAGTAGCTCAGGAGGGATTAGAAGACAAGATCATTGGAGGAAAGACCGGGGTATGCTAATCATCCTCTCATCACTGGTCTACCTGTATACTCTCACCTAGATTCTTCCAATTACTGCACTCAAATTATAGCTTACTAATCATAAATGAATATCCTCTTCTAAAAAATCTCGTTTGCCTCAGAGAATTTTTTTACTATTTTATCATTTTATTTTACTATTATTTTAAGATTTTATTTATTTATTTGACAGTCAGAGATCACAAGTAGGCAGAGAGGCAGGCAGGGAGAGGAGGAAGCAGGCTCTCCATGGAGCAGAAAGCCGGATGTGGAGCTTGATCCCAGGACCCTGGAATCATGACCTGAGCCAAAGGCAGAGGCTTTAACCCACTGAGCCACCCAGGCGCCCCACTATTTTATCATTTTAAACAAATAACAGAAATGACACAGATAAGACTCATTTCACCATTTATTTGCTGTTTTCTTTCTTTTATTATACTATCTAAATCACAGACTCAAATCTATAATTCCATATAAATAATTAACATAAATGCAAAGTAATATTATACCTCCAATAAATCCATTAAGTTATTATATTATGTTCAAGTCTAGTTTATATTTCACTTCTAAGTGTTATATTTAAAACAGCAGAATATTAAATGGAAAATTAACTGAAAATGTGAAAAAATGATCAAGCGGCGGACAGAATAAGAAACCGGAGGAAAAAAAATCAAAAATGGATTACTTAAATAGAGATACTCAGTGATATATGAATTTCAAAGAAACAATGTTCCTTGTGAAATTCCCATAAAAATTAGAATTCAAACTGTACTAAATGCATTTTGTCTTACGTACTTGAGCTCTAGTATTTCATAGGTATCTTGATACATAATTGAAGACATTCATGAATACAGAAATGTCTGAAGCATATAAATCTTCATGCCATACTAAGTTTTAAAAATATCTAGTCACAATACATATATCCATCATCATTCTGATTATGAGACTATCTGGAGGTATGGGAAAGCCAAAGCTTCCCGCAACTACTGAAAAATCTGCAAATACCATCCCGATTGCTATGTCTTGCCATCACCTTTTCTACCTTTACTCAGTACTGGCCCACTGTAATCTTCACACAAACTTCTGATGCCTGATGATGCCACTGATAATTCTACAAGGACCCCTTGAAATGTTGTGTTATCAATGTGGTCATTATCTACTGGAGGATATTGTGTTAATTGCTGCAGCCTGCCAAAGTGTTCAAGTTCACCAAAGTGGAGAAGCTCTTTAGCACCTAAATTTGTGATATGGTTATTTTTATGAGCTTCAGGACAATTCTTTGAATCTTTGGAGTACAATAGCAACTTTTTTTATATTAAATATTTCTTTGTTTTTTTTTTTCCTTCAGAATTTACCACGGCTGACCAGAAACTTATCGGAATAACAGATATACTACTACTTCTATGAATTCTTACATTTAGATAAAATGTTCTTAAACTCTTTTTCCCCTAGAAGCACGTATTTTGCTAAGAGCTTTCTTAGTTGCTCATAAATATGTATCTATATAACACAATTACACCAAAGGTTTTCCGTATATGCCTATGTTTACCTGGGCCCTAGGAAAAAAATACCTTGGACTAACAAAGAAAAGTGTGTTTTATATACTTAAAAGTCTGACAAATTGTGTCTGGGTATGAATATGGGTTTTTTTTCTTAAATATTTATATATAATGAAATATTTCCATAATTAGATTTTTTTTCCTAAATATACTTTTGGAGCCATCATGTAAGAGTTTTCTAAATAGTATAGAATTGAAAAAAGGGTTAGATTGGCCATGGAATATTTGCACTGACATCTGATCCTTAACATTTTTTAAATCTCCAAATATATTCAAGGGCTGTCTTATTAACAATGGAAAGTTTTCCAGAACTTCTCTTATATTGAACTTGACTAAGGGCAAGAATGACTTAAAGATCTCAACCTCTAAAAGCACTGCCATTCTTTACAAAATTCTTCACAGAACAACAAAGAGATCACCCTGAGCAAAGTAGCCAAATATCTAAGAATCTCTGAAGTATGAGATGTACACAGTCCATTTATGTTTAAGAAAAAACAGTATAGCACAGTAACGCTTAATAAAAAGACTTACAGAGAGATTGCAAAAATTCTGAGGTTTGACCTACCCATCAATCAGGTCACTTACCAGATATCTCCTCTAGGCACTGCTTAGCAGTTTTATTATATGATAAATCCATCTTAGTAGGACTGGTACAGGGGTCAGCAGATGGTAAAGAGGTACCTTCATTTTCTGAATGCGATCTGAAATTAACCAAAAAGACAGAAACATATAGCAATTGTTGTCACCAATGACTCAAAGTTCTCTAGTACAAGCAGAAATCAACATGTTAAAAGTTTTCTATCAAGGTAAATAAGCATTTCCTAATGACAGAGACATTCCAAAACTATCTATTAGAGATAGTCTTTATTATATTTTTCATATACAACCCACAAAGGAGTGAAATATTAAATCATATTTCTTAGACTCTCCTAAACTTGAAAGCTTGTAATTACCAATAGTTGTATTTTGGAGAAGTAAAAGATGAAAAGATCCAACCTTTTTTCTTCTGTTTTAGAAAAAAAGTCTGGCTAAGTTGTGTTCTTGTCAGAATAACCAATAAAAGTACTGAAAGCACCCCTAAAATTATTTTTTCCATGAAAATTCTAGAAAACATATCCTAAAATTGGAAGTATAAGTAAAAACAAATTTCAGAAAAGTTGAAGTCAATGAAAACCAAATTCCCATTAAAATTTCATCTACTGTATATTTTATTTTTATGTGTGTGTGTATGCATTGGTATGTATTTTTGTGTGTGAGTAACATGTACAGAGTAGGTCTAACCAAATGAAAAGCATGCAAGAGACAGACTGCATATATCCTGACATTCCAATCTTACTTCTTATATTGCTTCTTCCTTTTATGAACAGGCGAATGTTTTAAGAAGCATGATCTTTCCTGATGCAGCTTCAAAATCTACATATATTTGATCCAAATCACCACATTTTAAAAAATCTACCTCGTGAATTACTAAGACACAGATGGAGGCAAGGCACTATAGTATTGTATGCTAGACTGTGTCCTTTGGAGACTTCTCATTTGCTGGGCGTCCCATTTGTACGACCGGGTTTGGACCACGGCAAGAGGTCACTAAATAGTTCTCACTTTTTAAAAACATCTATAGAGAATATTTATATGTGAAAGGAGAATGCAGTATGTTTTTTTCTGAATCAATTTTTAATTAATGTTATTTTTATTCTAAATCCTGGTGTTGTCTGAAAGGAAATAAAGCATAATCACCAAAAATACTTTGAATTGATCTGATAGATATAAAAACTCTGAGCTCATTAGGATTTTAAGAAATCATAGAAAACTTTATGCTGTATGTATGGGTGTATGTGTATATACAGAGATTGATACAGAAAAGAAAGAGCTATGTAAGAATTCATACAAATGGTTTCTGTTGATTTCTGGCAGACTATCCTTATTTTATTCCAACTTAAAACTGAATATAAAAAGCGTGGCAAAATTAAGAAAGAGAATATAGTATCCAAGTGACAGAATGTACCATAAAGGCCAGTAAAGACCTCAATGTTGCTAAAATCAACACATCTTAGTCTTCACCTTCCTTGATGTTTTGGCAGCATTTACAACAGAAGACCATTAGTCTTTTCATGAAATCGCCCTACCCTGGCTTCTATTACAAAAATCTTCCAGTTTGTACCCCATTCTCTATGGATGCTATTTTCTCTTCTTTTGTTCTCTTTTATCCAATCTTTTAATGTTTTTATGCTCACCATTGTATCCCAATGCCTTGCCCTAGTCTCACAATATGCTACACTCAGGAAATAGTTGATAAATAAAAAATCTTACTAGTAGTGATGATAAAATGGCATTACTGGAGTATAGCAACGTGGAAGGAAGCATGGTATAAAGGTGCATGCTCTGGGTTTCAGTGTAAAACTTGGCTCTCTAACTACCTACTTACTAACTCATGTGACCTTGTTAAGGTACTTACCCTACCTGAATTTAAATTTGCTCATGTATGAAAGCAAAGAAAAATATGCTCCTTTCAAAATAATTGTGAACTCAAGCGTTATTATTACTTAAGGTTTGGAAAGGCATTCTCTTGAGGCATGTAGGATTCTTGTCAACATTAAAATGTGGGGAATATATCTGGCTCTCTGTATAGCCCATTTCTTTTCTTCTCTGGCTCCCAGGTTCTCCTATAGCCCTGTCTATTGATACCCCTTGCTATTTACTGCTGAAGCCCACTATAGTTGGCTCCTCTACTTAGGCTCATTTCTCACCGGCCACTGTCCTTCCCTGACCTGATCCTTAGCCAGCTGTCTATGAATGAAGGGATAAAATCCTCTAAAGTTTTCTAAGGACTTTTGTTACTCACTGAAGAAGTTTAAACGGAGAGTATGCAGTGAGATGGGAGACCCCAGGGAAAGCTGACTGGCTGCTTGCCAGGAAGGCAGGGTGCCTTGGTAAACTGGCTGTGAGCCAGGATTAGCCTCTAGTCTTGCAGACTCAGTATTCACAGACTGATCTCAGAAGCTGAGTCACATTAAGTAGTTCACTGTGATGGCTGTCTAAAGCCCAGTGCCAATTGGTTCTTATTAGAACAAGATCAGCAGCTGTTATAGGAGCCTGAATGACTGTGGTCATGTTAGTTAAAGATTCATAGTATCTCCCTCTGGAAAAATCTGCATGGAGCAAAAGCATATTCAGGACGTGTTTTGAGAGTACAAATTTTGCTTTGCTCTGAACAAACAGATCTTAAAAAAGTACTGCTCAGGAGCTGACTGTGGCTATCTTCCTCAGTATGAGAGACCCAGTACTCTCTACCATCAACTGTCTCCACACCCCCATCTGAGTCTCTCTCTCTCTCTCTCTCTCTTTTCTTTTCTTTTTTTTTTTTTAAAGATTTTTCTTTATTTATTTGACAGAGATCACAAGTAGGCAGAGAGTCAGGCAGAGAGAGGGAAGCAGGCTTCCCACTGTGCAGAGAGCCCGATGCGGGACTCGATCCCAGGACCCTGAGATCATGACCTGAGCCGAAGACAGAACCTTAACCCACTGAGCCACCCAGGCACCCCTGAGTCTCTTTTATAAAAGGTATGCATGCTTCTGACAGCTCAGTCTTGTCTCAGGAACCTTTGTTTTATTTTATTATATGAATCTGTCAGTGTGTGTTTGTGGCTGATTCCCTCTTTATTATCCCTTTTTACTTTATGTCACAAGAGGCAATCTTATTTACCTTATTTTCAAGTTCTTTGGTGTATTTTCCCTACATCATGTGGTATTCCCTACATCAGCAATGCTATCATTGGAAAAAGGTTGATCAAGGAAAGGAACATAGAAAGGTTAAATTTTAAATAATTATAAAAAGGACTTGGAAGTCATCTCTGGTTTGCATGGACATGTAAATGGGTCCAGATCTCTGTTTTATATATGTTATGAGCCATTCATTTCTCCAGGATTTCCACTCAGTATTTGTTAGAGTGGAATCAGATTTTAACTCCAGTCTCCAGAGGGGCAATCACTGCTAACTGGTAAAGATTTAACTTTTATACAAATGATCAAAGAAGTTCAGTTAAATCTCTGAAGACTCCCACATGTCCTCTGTTTTTGTGCATGTTTCCTTGTAATAAAATAAAGGGATTTGGGGTTGCTTCATGAAACAATTTCTGATGAGTTCAGAATCAATAGTGCTCTTCAATCAAAGGGTACATCTTGACAGATATAATAGATACTAAAGTGGCATCATCCACTGTTGCCACATAAACTGATACTGCATTTTCCTCATATTGACTGGAAAAAGAAAAAGTAAGTGTCATGATGTTCCTTTAAAATATTTAGAAGATATGTCCTGTGCAGACTAAAAACTATGCATTTACAACATGGTCAATATGTTACAAACACCCATTGAAACTGTAAAATACAGTACTGCAAAAGAACACCATTTAATTCATTTAGAGTGCTAATAAGCCAGGCTCTCAGTGTTAGTATCTGCTACTAAGGGGACAGTGGTGAAAAATCTAGACTTCACTGATGGTTGACATAAAAGCTCTTTCCTGTCTATGTGTACTTACTATGTGTCAAATACTAGGCCTGGTATTCCTGTTGTTATGGAATGAATGTCTGTTTCTTCCCCCAAATTCTTATGTTGAAAACTAATCTCCAATATGATAGTATTAGGGGATGGAGACCTTGGTGGCTAATTAGGTCTTCAGGGTAGAGCTCTGATGTCTGGGATTAGTGCTGTTGTATAAGAGACCTCAGAGAACTCCATTGCCCCTTCTGCTACATGAGCGCAGAGTGAGAAGATGGTCATCTATGAAGCAGGAAGCAAGCTCTCACCAGACATGGAATGTGCCAGCACTTTGAGCTCAGACTTCCTGGCCTGCAGAATCATGAGAAATAAATATTTGCTGTTTAAGCCACTCGGTCTATGATATTTTTGTGATAGCAGTTTGAACAGATCAAGACACTTATAATGTAGGTACTATAGATAAATTTAGACTTGTAGAGATTAATAATTTGTCTATGGAACAAGCTGATTGACAGTCATTCTGTATTTGAAACTGGCTGCCTCTAAATACTGTTTTTTAACTGCTACCCTCCAGTTTAATACCATCCAAATGCCCCTGGACACTATTTTAGTACGTTTAAGTTCTCCTTCGCTGACACATACCTCACTCATCTCACCTCACTCTCTAAGTTAATAACACACAATATTTGAATGTGACAATATCTATTGGTCTACCTGAAATATTATTCTCTGTTCTTTACTACCTTAAACTTTTTCTTGAGAAAAAGAAGCTATTATACACACCACTTAAAGCAATTCAACAATAAGTCCTAGATACCATCAACTGGCAAATTTCAAATTTCATGAATATGGGTGTTTGCTTATTGAGTTATATCAATCAAGATATATTTTCCTGTGCATTCATCTTAACATGGATCTAGTTACAAATATGAACACAAATAGAACTGGTCTGAGGTAGCAATATTAATTAATGTTCTTAACAGTTCTTGATTTATAAATCCAATAAAGGCAAAGAAAAGTATCTATCCAAAACCACCAATGGTTTTGCTTTCTTCTTTCCTTCCCAGTGGAAAGGCAGACAGGTGACAGCCAGGGCCAAGGACAGAAATCTGTCAGGGTGAAAAGCAGTTCAGTGTGGAAGGGAGATATGTGAGATTCAGGTGGGTTGAGCAAATAAGAAAACATAGTGAGGGGGCGCCTGTG